CCTGATGTGGGACTTCACGGGTTGTATCAGAGAGTAGCTGAAAATAACTCAAAGAAAGCAAGATGGGACCCTGGAACTTGAAAGATACAGTCATAATCTGAGCCGAAGTTTGATGGAAGAGAAGGGAGAGGAAGCTGGAAAAGTGGGAGGGTCAAAGACTGAAGAATTATGTGCTCTATTCTACAGAGTTTAACATGTCCTAAACAGGCTAGCAGGCAAGGAGATATTCTAAAAAGATAAACAAAGAAAAAGAAATGAAGAGAAGGAAGAAAAGCGAAAGGAAAGGAATGACATAAAGTAATTTATTCCTACCTTCACTTATCAAATATTATTGAGTACCTACTATGTGCCAGGCACCAAGCTAGATACAAGGAGACAGTCTCTAATTTCAAGAAGCTCAAAATCTCATAAGATAGCCAAGCAAAGAGAGAATTTTTCCCAGCCAGAGTCTAAGTTCCTGTGTCTTACCCTGGTTCTTTAGCCTGGTTAAAGTTTCCTATGTGAAAGAACTCAGGCTCGGGTTTTGGAAAGGCCTGGGTTTAAAACCTTCTCTCCATCCTTACCTCTTCATCTTGACCAAGTCTCTTAATTTGTCTGAGCTGTAGTTTCAGCTTCTGTAAAATGGGAATAATAAAAGCTATTTAGTAGCATTGTCCTGAGGATTAGTCATAATAGAGAAGCAGCTAGCAGACTTCTGGAATAAGTTCACTGGTCTTCACTACCCTCATTTGCCTGTGTCTTGAAGGCAAATTGGAAGGCCCCTTCCCTGCAGCCAATGTCCTCACAAGCAGCACTCTGGAATCCAGCATCCCACCAGACAGAGAATGCCAGATCAGAGTCAAGAGCATCAGGACCAATCCATCAGGTCTTGCAACCTTTTACCTCAATCCCTCCCAAAAGCATAAACTGCTAGTATCACTTATTACATATCACCAGGCTCTCTTCCCCTTTCCTCTTCTGTACTTCCCAAGCGTGGTTCAACCTTCCACCCCTCTCCTTCCTTTCACACACACTGTGCCCTCTGGAATAGTCCATGTACGATCAGCAAATATCCTTACACCTACAAACTCTTCCACTGCCCTGCTCCCTTCATCTCCTTGCTTGACTGTATCGTTGCCTCTAAAATTTGCTTGCCTTTCATCCTTTTGTTGTTTTTCTTTCATCCTTCCCTCTTTTCTGGGGTTAGAAGAAAGATGTGTCCTTCTTTTTCCCACAGTTTCTAACAGATCATTTCTCCTGGCTTTCCCTTCAACTTACAAGTTTCTTTGCTCCCTTCAAGCATCTCATTCAGCTATTTGATACTCTTCTGATCCAACCTTCCTGAAGTTATCTGCTGACATCCCTCTGTTATTGAGATATTTTCCTGCTTACACTCACTCTCTCCATAAACAACCCTAATAGCTTCAACAGGTGTGTGGAGGGTCCATCCAACTTTCATCCCTCAATCTTTCCCTTCCTTGTCAACAGTGGGTCCTTCTTACATTCTTGCAGGACCCCATCCCACTGCCATATCTGACATTTCATCATCAGAAACTGCACAACGTCATACATCTCAATTTCAGGCATACCTCTTATCGGCCTTAGCTTCCTATTTTTTTCAGTTCACTTGCTCAAGTGCCCACAGCGCACAATTCTGCAATTGATCCTGGTGCATTCTCAAAACCAGTCAGCCTCTTTCTGTTTCCATTTCCTTTCTTATCCAACTTTAAATACAGGCCTTATCATTAAAATCATTCATTGCAAGGACTCTTCTCCCCTTTCACACATCACATCTCAGAAGCAGTCAGAGAGTTTGTGAGCCTTTCTGTTCACAACCCAACCTGTCTGACTGCTTCTGAGAGCCCACATCGGGACTGACGGGTTACACCACATAAAAAGTGGATTCTGTTTCTCAAGTAAGCTTCCTTTCCCATTCTGTGACATGACCACTTTTTCTCACCTTCATCACTCTGCCTTCCAGCTGAAATCCCAGCTTCTTTTCTTGCTTTTTTTCCAATCTTTTCTCACACTTCCCTAGAGGGATCTTTTAAAAACAGAAACCAAATAAAATCATCCTCTTACTTAAAATACTTCATTGACGACTCTCCATTATACTTGGGATAAAATCCAAACTCATTACTTCTACATCCCCTCTACCTCTTCATCCTCATACTCCACCAGTCTCTTACTCAGCTCCCATTACTCTACCTGCCTTTCAGTTCGTCAAACACACCACGTTCTTTGCATTGGGCTTCTGCACCTGCTGTTCAGCCTGCCTGGAAAGCTCCTCCCTGGGGTTTTGCAAGGCGAAATACATCTCCCCCTGCAGGTCTAACTCACAGGCCACCATCTCACAGGGGTTTTCCTAGGCCATCCTCTCTGACGTTGCTGCTCCAGCCACTACTATTCTCACTCCTAGCAATACGATTTCTTCATAGAACTTATCCCCCTCAGCCAAGCATCATATATTTCTTTGTTAACATGTTTATTTTCAGTCTCCCTCTCCTCTCTGTAAACTCCATGATGGCAGCGCCATACAGTCTTGTTATAACTGGCAGATAGTACTTACTGAATACGTATTTATTAAGTAAATGAATAAACGAATGAATGCTGGATGAGTGAAAAGAGTAATTCAAAGAGAAATGAAATCAGTTTCATAAATTTGCTGATTTGATTGTTCAAAACAAAGTTTGTTTCCATCTTTTAGAAAGAGACGGTACCTAAATATGAACCTAGTGCTTCTTAAATGTTTCCACTGAAGAACCCAGAGTGGGTGTAAATATATACACCCAAGAGGTCATGCCTATAAACAGCTAGAATTTATGCTTTTCATAATAATTCTGCAAATGATATTTTCAATTATCCATGTGTAAAACTGCTGATCTAGAAAGAGGGAGCACGGCCATATTGTGGCTTAGAGATCTCTCTTGCACACTGCCGTAAACTCCAGCTTGAGAAGCGCAGATGAGCATGAATTGCACATGCTCACACCCCCTTTTTAAGGAATTTAACTCACTTTTCTCTGAATCAGTTTCCAATACTTAATAGGTGCCCTGCCCACATTCTCTTTTTGAAAATTCCAGCTCATGCCCAGCCCTTGATGAAGGCACACGCTTGAATGGCTGTGTTTCATACCACAAAACCTTGCTCCCTCTAGCCACAGCTCATTGGTCAAGGTATGGACCTCTGACACAGAAGGAATCAATCAGATTCACTCTCTTAAGAAAATAGATGTGGCTGGGCACATGGCTCTGAAAAATCACAGGAGATCAGGGTCAACTCCATGCCATGAAAATTCAAAGCCACCTCAAAAACAGTTACATAGCACGTAGAATAGTGGGAAAAGCCAGGCTACTGACAGAAATAGGAAATGAAGCCAGTGCCTACAGAGAAAGCAGCCCTGAGAAAAACAGGTACCTGAGAGAAGAGAGGATCTTTGCTTTCGACATTAGTCTCCATTTATCCTTGCTGCTTCTCATCCCCAAATCTCATTTCTGCATTCCCTAACTTTATTTCTCTGGGACGTTTTACTGTTGACTTTCAATAAACCTCCTTTTAAATTTAATCATCTAAATGGGTTTCTGTTTCTCTACATCAGATAAATCCCTGACTTCGCTATTAACACCCGTACCAAAAATTGAAAAACTGGAAGAAGGATCATTTCAGAAAAATTGTGTTACAAACCTCCTGTTTTGAGGTTGTGTATATTTATTTTGTTTTTTGAAAATAAATGTTTCTTTGCTTCTGCTGGGAGGCAGTAGGACCCAGGATCCATGTCCAAGTTGTGACCTGTCTCAAGAACAATGGATCAATGTAGTGCAATGGACTAGATGTTTGTGTTGCCCCAGAATTCATACATTAAAACCCTAATCCCATGCCAGAGGACTAGCTTGATCTCTTCCCACCTCATGAGGATACAATGAGAAGTCAGCAGTCTGCAACCCAGAAGGGGATCCTCACCAGAACCCAGCTGTACTGGAATCCTGATCTCAGACTTCCATCCTCTAGAACTGTGGGGGAAAAAATCTGTTTTTATATGCAGTCTTTGGTGCTTAGTTATAGCAGCATGAATCAAGCGTGACAAGGTAGACATGCTTCTGATGCATCTTTCACAGCTGCTGGGCATAGCCTTCAAGGCCATTCCTAGCAAATTCTAAGGGTACGATTTACCAAGCTTGCCACAGGACAAGAAGCACCATCTGAGAGAGTGGAGACACTCAATGTTAGCAAGAATGAATTGTGAAACTTAAAAAAAATACTTTTCTAAGCGATCGATATTTTTTTAATTGACAAACCATGCTGTGAGAAAGATGTGATATTTTTCTATCATCGCAACGAAAATATTATAAAATTGTTGTCAAACAACAATGATTAAATATAACCAAAAATAAAACAAAAAAAAACCCTATTAGAGAGATGCATCAGGCAGATGCATATAATTAATAGTAATGAGATTGTATATTTTTGGATTTCATAATGCTGATGGCATTTGTCAACTCTTTAAATTTTTTTTTAATTTATAAGTTATCATTTCCCATTCTAAATAAATATCAATTTTGTGAGTAATTTTACAGTCATAATTTTGTATTATTTTTTCTTTAAGGTAACTTTCAAAATTGCTTAAGTTTCAGACACTGTGAAACCTGAATACACCATGTCCACATCTCACATTAAGGAATTGAGGTATGGAGAGGTTAGGAAAGTAGCCGAAGGTAGCAGAGCTGAAAATGGAGCCAAGATTTAAACTGAGGAAGTTTGGATCCATTATGTTACATCATTTTTTTGACCTACCACAAAACTTGACTCCCCTAAAATGACTGACGCACATTTGAATGACTTTGAAGTGTTTACATACCTGTTTACCTGATCAGAGTCTGAGCTCTTTGAGGCACAATGTATCCTCATTTGCATACCCAACAATTACTTCAATAGAACACAGTAAAATGCTCATTAAAAGTTTGATCAAAAAATTAATGCATAAATGAATGAAGAAGTGAACCCTTTTCATTCTCACTTTTCAGGTAACACACTCTGATTCTGAGGAAGACCAAACAGGAGCTGACAGCCTGGAGAAAGCCACACTAAGGTCTTTGGACCTGTGATTCCCAGTCCTTAGGTTGAGGACCCTGAGGAGTCAAGATGCAAATACTGGAACCGTAATGTGCAACAGCCTCTGTAAATAAATGAGTGCATAAGGCCCCTTCTGTGAAGGTAGCCAAATTTATTAAAAATCAAAAGGGTTCATTATATTTGGAAAAAGTTGATAACCACTGCTTTCCACTAAAATTCAACATTTTTCCCCCTATCCCTCTGAACTAGGGAGACAGAGTGAGGTAAAATAGTTTCAGCCCAGGGAAAGGGATCAGCATAAAGGGTTGAGATAAACCACTGTGTCAAGCAAGGTGGATAGCCTGAGACAAGGGAGAACAAGCTGGTTCCTTGGGGAAGAGATATCCAGAAACAAGTTAACAAAAGGAAGCATAAACACAGCAGAGACCAGTGCACAAAAAGTAACAGAATATATGATAATATCTAGAAACATATTTTAAAATGGTTTAAGTGCTATCAAACATTGTATACTGCTCTCCACTTTTGCTGTTTCTAGAACTACTTGTGATGTGGACCAGCAAACCAACAGCACAATTCCCTCGCCAAACAGCCGCAGTTCACAGGACCTTCCTTTTAGACTCGCAGAAAGGCACATAAAACCTGAAGCTTGAATCAGCCAAACAGGGCAGGGGAACCAAGTTTAACAGCCCAGTAGGGAAGACCCAGATAAGAGGATACCAGGCCTCTGGTACCCAGAGCTCCACTCTGTCTGACAATCTTTCCTGCATCAACTAGCATTACAGGCAATCAGTGTGGAAAACTGTCAGCCCTGCATGACATTTTAGTTTTATTCCCTAATGCCTTTTTTTGTGCTTATGTGGGGAAAATAGATAGAAATATGGTTAACTTGTGGTTCTTTTTTATTTGGAGTTTGAAGGATTTTCCAAGTAATGAAAAAGCCTGGCCTCCTGGGGCAAAGATACTCATTCAGTGAGCAGAAAAAAAAAAAAAAATATTGCTCAGAGAAAAATGAATTGAGAGCTCCATGAGAAAGGACCTACTACTGAAGACAATTTTGTTCCTAGAACGACACTAAACCCAGAGGATAAAGCCCCAAAGGAGCTGTGGGCTGGGGGCCCTGTGAAAGAGACATAGGCACAGTCATCTAAGTTATATGAGCAGAATTCCCAAGCCTATGAGGGCTCTTCTTGCAACCAAGTCGAGGCTGGGTTGTACGGGTTGAATTGTACCTTACCCACCCCCACAAAAAAGGGCATGTTAAGGTTCCAAAGCTCCACGCTCCAGAATGTCACCTTACTTGGAAATAGGATCATTGCACATGTTATTAGTTACTATGAGGTTATGCTTGAGTAAAGTGGGCCCCTAATTCACTATGACTGGTGCCCTTATAAGGAGATGGCCTTGGGAAGACACAGAGACACACAGGAAGAATGCCATGTGATGACAAAGGTGGAGATGAGAGTTACGTGTCTGTACTCCAAGGAACTCCGCAGATTGCCAGTGAACCACTGCAAGGTAGGAGGAGGCAAGGCAGGACTCACCTGTAAGTTTCAGATGGAGCGTGGCCCTGAGAACACATTAATTTCGACCTCCCTTCTAGCCTGCAGGGTAGTGAGACAATAAACGTCTATTGTTTTAAGCCACCCAGTTAATGGCACTTCATTATGGCAGCCCTGGCAAACTAATAAGATAAGGTAAGGTGAGCCTAAATAGCCTGGGCCAAGGAAAGGGGTTAGGAGGGGAATGTCTAGCTGGAAGAATGGTGTATGCTCACTACATTAGGAGGATGGAAATAATTATCATAGTTATGTATGTATGTAACATAAATTCTATTTTTTAGGAAAGGAGGCTAAAGCAAATCACAACAAGTCCAAAGTCTTTTTCTATCAATCAAATTGCTTATATAGCATCATCACAATTAGTTTCAAAGAATTCAGTGTTAAATAAAAGAACAATGAAATTTTCCCAAGTGCAATTTCCATTTTTCTTTCTTAAGTGATTTCAAGGCAGGTTAGTATCTTAAGATCATGACTCTGATTAAGAATTATCAAATAGTACATTGTCAGTGACCTAACATAGCACACTAATAGTTATCAGCTTTAGATTTAGCAGACCCAGGTTCAAATCCTGACTAAACAAAACCAATGACTCGTATGTAACTTTAGGCAAGTTATAAACTCTCTGTATCTGTTATCTTATCTAAAATTAGATATGTGAACAACTGTCATTTATTCTTGCTCATGCATCTGAGGGTCACCCAGGGGTTGACTGGTTTAGGCCAGGTTGGGCTAGGCTCAGCTTCAAGCTGCAAGGAGGTGGAGGTCATGTTATCTTCGTGTGTCTCATATCCTCTTTGGACCAGCAGACTAGTCAGAATGTCAGAAATATAGATCCACTAGACCTTCTTTTGGCCTTGGCTGGTAACTGGCATGCTGTCACTTCTGCTCACATGCTGTGGGTCATAACAAGTCAAATGGCCAAGTCCAACATCAGTGGATCAGGGAAATGTATATTGTCTCTAGTTAGGGGAGAAGGAATTTGCAGGCTGAATATTTGCTGAATAATTCAAATTATCACATTCCCTGAATATGTGTCCTTACCTGCAAAACGGAGATAATAATAGTACCTAAAAGAGCTGTAGAATTGTCTTCATTTAAAAACTGGAAGATTTCACATAAAGACCCAGATTTTTCTCTTCAAAATTAAAAAAAAAAAAAAAAAAACCTGGGATACTAGGTTCACAGTTCCACCTGGCAATGATTGACTGGATATTAAGTGGACTTTGCCCAATTTTAGAAGAATTTGCCAGATTCTCTATGTAGTGCACAATTCATACATTTAAGTTGCCTCTTCAGCACCTGTAAGCATCTGAGCTGTAGCCTTTGCAGTAAACCAAGCCAGGTATATGTGGAGTGTTGTTGTGCTCAAGCCCCCTCTAGCATATTTCCCCCCAAGAACCTCACAGATGAGCACCATGAGGCCAGAGAAAAAGACAAGAATGAAGTTCAAAAGCGACTCCTCTATGAGGACATCTTCCTCCCACTGACTGGGATCCCAACTTACATGATTGGGAAAGATATTTTATAACATAGATACAAGGGAGCCTTTGCATCCAATAAATCTTTAGTGTTCAATTCTCAAAATTCTTTTGGAAATTTCAAAATGTAGGGTTCCTCCAGAATCTGCAGTTGTCTACTGTGTACTTTGACTTTCTCTTCCCAAACAGGATTTTTCGTGCTGTAACCTGAAAGGCCAGGTACAATCCGAAGGTTGAATTCGCATTGTCAAACTTAGCTATACATCACAGAAATTAAACAAATGAGGGGATTTTTAGGTCCTTACCCTTACTGAATTTCTTAGGATAGTATACTGAAAATCTGACTTTCTTTCCTGTTGATTTTGATGAACAGGTAAATTTAATAACTGCAGGTAAAGATCATCCCAGGAAATGTTGTGATGCGGGAAAGAGCTCAGAGGAAAAAAACAAAGGTTTCTCTTCTGTACTGTCAATATCACAGACAGGCACTGTTTGGTCTGCCTTTTACTTTTAGTCAATTATGAAATTTTTGAGCTTGGAAAGAGTAGGTAAACAGAATGTTTCCCCATTTGCACAGGAATGTACATCAACTGTACTCCTTTATGATAGCCTGAGTGTGATTCCTCAAAGAGTAAATAAAAGCTAACTGATTACTTTTCAAACTGTTATTCCCTGCTGTGAGCATTATCCAATGAAAGCTACATTGCAAGATCTTCTATTACCTCAGTAGCATAAATTACACATGAGAAGATCACAGGCCACAGCATAGATGTACACTTGGTAAGGCTGTGAGCCTGGATACTCATCATTTGATAGTCATGAATCCATAAAACTCAAATTACCCGGGTATTTGAATGTCCTGGGATTTGCAGTTATTACTGGGAAGCCAGCATTTAAGTTTTATTTTTATAATCTAACACCTATAGACAAGTTATATAGCAATGAACTCAACTCTGAAAAGTCAGTATTACTTTACAAAGGCCATATCAAAAGTTATTTAATAATACAGATGCTCAATCCCTCCTGCAAGTCCAAAACTTCTTCAAGAAGTTTCAAAAATCAAAATTTGCTTCATAATTCATTTGGTAGTAAAACCTGACCTCAACTGAAATTCTTTTGTGGCAAAACCTGACCTGGACTGGTGTGAGGCTATTCATGGTCTTTGTATAAACCACTCACTGTAAATATTTACACATTCCACTAAAGAACTACTAATGTGTTTGATTATGAGATGTTTCTGTAGACCCACTGATGGTATCACCCAGCATATGTATTATATTACTTTTATAACAGCTGAATGTTTTTAAATTGCTAAATACATCTTCCTCCAAGAGTTTCAGAGAAGAGACTTGGGACCTGGGTTATTGAAGTAACTTTTAATTTTCCTTTTATAAAGTAGTCATCTTTTCAGAATTGGAAGTCAAGAATATCCATTTGACTGTTCGTACAGTCATGAATATTATCTGGCACTTACTCTTCAGTGATGAATAGCAAACAAATTCAATGTCAGGGTCAATAAACCTTAATTGAGTGCCTACTATATGTAAGAACCTTTGCTCTGTGTTCTTGTATTCATTACCTTATCTGATCTGTAGTCTTTGTCTGAATAAGGTATCCTTAAACCACATTATTAAGAATGAGAAATTGAGGCTCAGTGAGGTTTTGTGATTGGTCCAGGATCATGCAGCTGGTAACAAACATAGTTTGACTTCAAAGCTAGGTCACCTAATGATAATTTTCCAGATTAAGGAGGTGGGCCCAAAATTAGACCATGTTCACAATAGCCAGAAATGCTAGAGGCAGGGACATGTGGATTTCTGTGTTCTGCCTTCACTAAATCTCTGTCTAGTCATGAACCCTCATGTTCTGCCATGCTATATGTGGACATCTTCCATTTAAATACAACCACTTAACCTCCAACCTCTACTTCTCACACTTCTGGTCAAATATCTTAGAGTAAGGGAATAGTACTGCCTTGACACTAATGGCAGTCCAAGAATTTCATGAAACTTGTGTACCCTGCCATTAGCCACTCTCACTGCCTTCTCACTTTAAGGAATTTTAAAATTCAAATGACAAACCTGCTAATGTACTTA